AGAAAAATTACCTGAGATAAAAAAATAGACCACAACATATTCATGTAGCACTCACCAGTCAACAACGAGATGTACTTCATCCACAACGATGGCTTTCATACGTTTTTTAAACTCTGCAGTCTTCAGGAGCTTAATGACATTTTTGTTGCCTACAAGGGCTTCCGGGTGAGCAAAAATTAACTGAAACTCCTTCAGGTTTTCTATTGCACTGAGTGCCAATCCTTCTTGTTCTTCTTTTCTTTCTTCTTCGTCTCCTTCTACGTGATCACCTTTCAAAATACACGCTTTCAGACCAGGCGGTGTGCACACTACGATCGCTAAGCATCATGGGCGGTATTCAAAATCTGATCATTTGTGTCAAGATGGCGTGGAGTGAACATCTCGACTGCGGAGTGAATATTCGTTAATTACGCTCTAGATATATACGATTTTGCTTTGAATGTCCTCCGGAAGCCCTTGAAAAAGAAAGTCCAATTTGTCCAATTCTCAGGGAAAAAACAGTCTCATTCCGTTGATAAGTGTATTCTGGTGTATTTTGTTCGTAATCACTTGCATCCTGTTTGCAACTGACCGAGAAAAGTCGGCACAGAAACGCTTTGTTCAATGCTTCAATCATGAAAAGCACTGGAGGTAAGACCCGCGGTTCGCCGAAAATTTTTGAATTCACCGTGAAATCAGTGCAACTAGTGCTAAGAGGTACTGATGTGCATAGCTGTGATATACTCATAAAATACTAGGAGCTTCTTCAGAATACCCGGCAACGGTATTTAAACACAGTGAGCTTATTTGTTTTGTCATTCAGCATTGCAAGATGTTCACTTGCTAGCTGTAATAAGAGAATCGAAGTTGAGGGGGTCATCGTTTCGAGGACTTGTTTCTCTGTTGGCACCAAGTCTGCATTTCGTTTTGCTTAATTTATCATCACATGAAGACAAGTAAATAAAATAGAGAGTATTTGTGTACAGTGAAGTTGTGTCCTCTTTATAGATAATATAATATTGAGCATCTTTATTTGCCATATTTTTCTATTGGTATGAGTCATAGAATGCCTTATAACTGGATTGAAACTGAAAATGGCATATTTGTGATTACAAAGCCTGATGCAGTCAATAGATTTTAAAAGCTGCAGCCAATATTTGTTTAAAGATTGTGTCAGTATGTACAAACACATGTTATCACATATTTTTTTGGGTTATAAAAACTCTTCAAAATGTGAAATTCATACACGTTTACAAATCTCTTGTAATCAGGGCTGGGGCAACATAGCTTAAGACTCCTTTCCTTTCTCCTCACCCCAATTTTATAATTTAAATATGGTGTCATAGGTCTCATCATACTCACAGTCAACTCTGTTATACAGACACTGAGGGGACCGTAGAAATTAACCATCTTAATTTAGAGAAAATTTAAGGGCTTTTTTCCAGGGAACAAAGCAAGCTATCTGTAATGATGAGCAAGGCTGTGCTCTAAGGAACATTGAAAGGAACCTAGTTCTCTGAACCTGCAATATCTAGGCATATGATTTGTATGAAAAGTCTGACATTTTCTAGTCACCCAAAAGCAAAAGTTAGGTGCCAGGGGCCACAGGGCTCTGCTAGAGCACAGCCTTGATCAGGTGTCTGTATGAAGCGGTTGTCCGTAAAGAGGGCTTTTGGGTTACCAGTTATTGCAGAGGTGGATCCTAGTGGTACAGTAAAACCCCCTGACTTAGAACCTGAAGTTCAAGAACCTGTTCAGCTAAAATAAAATTATGCCAGATGAGCCCCCCCTATATAAAAACCTGTTTAGCTTAAAATTTGAAACAGGTTCTTATTTTTGAAATCTATGAAAAAATTCTGTACACTTGAGAAGAGATAAATCAACATTTAGAATCTTCTTTGGAGACAAAGCTGTCTTATCACTCCAACTGCAATGTAAATGCCAATGTTTAAATTTAAATACATTCCTCTTTTTATGTCCATTCTCACATAACTTCTAATTTGGTATGCAGACTTTATGTGAGGAATAAGGTGAAACACAAATACTCTTAGCTACATTTTTACTTCAGAAAATATGAACCCATTTAAAAACCTAAATAGCCTAAACATGTGCTAACTACTATTTATATAAGAATCTGTTTAGGCTTACTTAGTTAATTCAGGTTCTTAGTCTCACAACGTTACTGCCCCATTGTTCCACTTTTTCTATTTCCTTTCCCTGTAACCATTTTTTCAGCCTTGGTTTTCCAATATCAAAAGCACATTCAATGATCGAGCAATTTATATTTTAACTAAAGCCACCAAAATATGCAAATTGTTTGATATATATTGAACAGTGTAAACGGGTAAACAGATTGAATGACATCACTTAGCCTGTGTGGCAGGCATTTCAAAGAAAAGGGAAAGTGGGTCTTAGTGCAAGAGAAATGTGAGGGAAGGAGGGAGGGAAATGCCTGCCATACAGGAGACTAATTGTTTTTTGCATTATAAACATCAACCAGTTGAATGTTGAAATCACTCCCTCCTTCCTTGTGCACTCTTCGCATTTCTCTTGTGCCCAAAAGCCTCTCCCTTTCCTTTTAAATGCCTGCTATGGAGGCTAATCACCACTGAATAAAACAGGGACTAGGCAAGAAACTGACAAAGTCATAACCTCCACACAACATTACACCAATCTTGGAAGTAGATTGCTGGTTTCAAAATGCACAGGGCTTAACTGTATAATCAAACTTATCTTTTAATTTAATACCTGTAATTCTAATCCTACTGATTTTATACCTGCATAAAGAGAGTCACATGTATGACTGCAATTTTATTATGCTTTTTTAGTCCTATTACAAAAACAGACATTCCTACATCAGAGTACTCATCAGCCTATTTATATACCAGTTTCGAACATTTTATGCACACCTAATGCTATTGTTTGGAGGAACCAGTCGCCGCTGCCCCGCTATTTTGTGATCAGCTTGTGATTACAACAGTAACACTTCCAGTAACATGTCACATTGGTCTTCGCGAGGCTACATTTTCCAATGAAAACATGCCGGTTTCAATTCGGAAAAAGTATCACAAAACGTGGGGCGCGTTGGGGAGCGATAAAAAATTAGCGTAGAACAAGGTTTGTAGAAACACTTACAACTATCTTCTACTTTCGACGGGCAATATAATGGAAATTATAGCCTCTTAAAAACCGGGTTCAAATTTCATGCTCTTACAGGAGGAATCTTCGGGCTCCACGTTTTAGATTGAAATGAAGAATATTGATTTGTTTTTCTTCACAGAAAAAATCTAAACAAATATTAGCTTGTGAAATCGAGAAAAACTATCTAAGGAAAGAACTGTATCTATTGAAAAATAAAGCATATAACCTGCGAAATTTCTCGACCTTCGCCGCCATCTTGAAAATTTTGAATCCACAATGCATCGCAGTCGTAGTGCGCACACCGCCTGCTTTCAGACCACTCTGCTTTAACTTTGTTACCTGATCCCTTATCAAGGCATTGAGCGGTGACACCACCAAGACAATACTGAATAGACTTATTTTGGGTTGGTCTCTGGCCAGAATCCATATAATCCATCAAGGGTGGCATTATTTGATATATTAACGATTTTCCGTAACCAGTTGGGAGAACGGCTAAAACATCTTTTTGCGTCAAAGCGATTATTTTGAGGCTCTCTTCTTGTTTCGGTTTGAGTGTAATATTTGCTTTTCCAACTTTTTCTAATCCATATTTCGCTCCCTCCAGAAACGTATCTGGACCACTTCTCTCCGCCATCTTGGGTTTTACTCATGATTCTGCGCAGTGTAACCGGAAGTCCGCGATTTGCGGACTCAAAATCCCATCTGGCCAGAGGTCCCGATCCCCGTCGCTGACCAAAAGGATCGCGGCCTCTGGGAACGAGATTGCTTTGTGACCATAAACGATAGTCGTCAACCGTAAAAAAGGGTTCATGTCATCCTACTTCAAACAATGTTAGTTTCTTTTTGATAATGCCATTATGGAACCATTGTGGCGATTCTATCATGATTGATGTCAGTTCGCTATGTTTTAAACACACTTTTACTCAACCGTGAACAAAAGTTAATAGCAAGGCAAGCTTACTTCAAACTTCACTGCTGGATATTTATTTCATCGGGGTGAATTTTTGCGCCGTTTCAAACTAGTCGAAACTATACTAGCCGTGGTAGGATTATTTTTAGTTATTTTAGTGCGCACTCCTTGCCTGCCTGTGTGACGTTCATAGTAATTGACAGGATTGAGGAAAACCATTTGCTTCGCTTGATTTCGCTTAGGTTCCGTGGATTAAATCATGATTATCACTAAAGCGTCCAAACGCCTTCTACTCATTCTTTACATGGAGTCACTTCGAACCGGACATTTCTTAAGGAGATAATTCTTGTGGTTGTGATTCTCGAATCGGATAAATCTTGTTTACGCGCCGGTGCTGTGGAACCTTCTCGAATCAACTGTCGAAAAGTGGAAGTGGTGACGCCACCGAAAGGGAAAAGCCTGTCAAGGATAAAGGCCACGCGTGAAGGACATAGAACCACCGTTAAACGTATCGCCTATGCCGTTGACGAGCAATTAAATACTTTAAAAAGCGATTTTTAACTTGAACGAGAACAAGCAAGCGTTAGCACAAAACGTGTCGAGGCTCCGCCAGCAAAAGGAATCTCTACGGGTTAGATTAGAAGCTCTGAAAGTTCTAGACGAGGAAATTATATATTCTGTCAGGAAGAGGACACTGAAAATGAAATCTGCGAAGCACATCTTGTAAATGAACTGATATAACTTGCCGTTGCAAGAATTGATTATTTTCTGGAAACATCGAGACCCCCTGCGTGCAGCGTTGACGCGCCTAAACACAAGGCACCAGTGAGCCCTTCTGTATCTCCTGAAGTTGTTGCTGGAAATGTTGAACCCTCAAATGACTCTATTGAATCTCTTAGTTCCCCCGCAAGTCCAACTACACATGAAACGGTTTCTCGAGTTAAACTTCCTAAGTTTGAGTTTAAACAGT